CACTCCGGGAAAGCTGATTATCTTGATAACTAATAATAAATGAGTAACACTTTTCATGATCTAGGCCAGGGGTAGGCAACCTATGGCCCGCGTGCCAAAGGCGGCACACGAGCTGATTTTCAGTGGCACTCACACTGCCCAGGTCCTGGCCACCGGTCCGGGGGCTCTGCATTTGAATTTAATGTTAAATGAAGCTTCTTCAACATTTTAAAAACCCTATTTACTTTACATACAACAATAGTTTAGTTATATATTATAAACTTATAGAAAGAGACCTTCTAAAAATGTTAAAATGTATTACTGGCACGTGAAATCTTAAATTAGAGTGAATAAATGAAGACTCGGCACACCACTTCTGAAAGGTTGCCGACCCCTGATCTAGGCCTATCACACTATGCACACACTTAGCCCGTCCTTTTCTTCCTCTTCCCTCCAATGGTTTGTTACACTCACTTGCTCCATCTTATCTTAAATTTGATTGTAAGCTCTTTGGACAGGGGCTGTCTCTTATTGTATGTCTTTTCAGTGCCTAGCATAATGGGGCCCTGATCTCCGCTGGAGCCTTTAGGCGCTACCGTAATAAAAACAAAATCAATTAAAATACTGAGCAATCAAGCTAACAAGCAGTTTGCCTGCACCTTGTTCCATCTGCCTCCACCCACCAAGGTGCATCTGGTGAGAGGAGCTGCACACTGAACTTAGGAAGACTCTCGTGGTAACACTGTCACTATTTTTAGCTTCACAGGTCAGCAGTAGCATTTGGACTTCCTGCTCCCAGACAGAACATCTGGATTCTATAAAGTCAATCAAGCATTTTCCCACAACTCAGATTTTAATAAGGGCAATGGGAAGGAGGGGGAAACAGCTTCCTTTCCAAATTAGTAACAAGGGGCACAGGGCTGCAGTAATTCTGCATCTAGGATGGCCCAGCAGAGGTGATTATGTTCTGCCCTCTTGTTCATGCAGTTACAGTTGGATACACTATAGGAGGAAATCTCACACAGTGGTTTAAGCAAGGAACTGGGAGTCAGATGATCTGAGTTCTAGTTTAAGCTCTGCCACAGACTTGCAATGTAGGCACCAAGCTTCCCCTGGGACATACTAGGAACAGTTCCTGAGATAGAGGAAGCATTTTTTTCCTCCCAACAGGACTGGGAAAGCTGGAGCTCGTCTCTCTTCATCCACAAGGAGGGAAACTCTACGAGCTTCTCCTGAAATCCCCAGTCACTACTTTCCAAGTACTCCTGTTCTTTTTGCGGATACAGACTAACACGGCTGCTACTCTGAATACTTTCCAATAGACACCCAAGTGCTGCAATGCCTTTCCCTCACCAAATCACAACACAACTAGAATAGAGGAAAAGGCTGAGTGTTTTATAGCAGGCAGAAGACTGTAAATATGGGAACTAACCATGTCTGGAGCTGAAGTGGCTGAAAGAAAGAGGCATGTTTTGGGGACAGGCACAGCTGGCGCCATTAGAATTTCAGTCATCTGCTAGAACTCTCAATCAGGGTCTCAAACCTTGCCTCCCAGCTGGTCTGATCTGTTCCAGGGGAGACATCAATTCTGGAACCGCATAAGCTCTACACCTGCCTATCTGAATAAAGATCTTTCAGAGGAAGAGAGGACACCTCTGTAGCTCAGACCCAGTGGAAACAAGCTCAGCGAGACAGAAGAGTTGTCAGGGCTCCCTGGACACATTTGACCCCTTCAAAGTCTTAGGCCCTTTTCATATGCTCAGCACCCAGGTATTTCAGTGCCTGGCACTCTAAAAATACCTTAACAGCAGACTACTGTATTCCATAGGAGTAGTGTGCAGCAGCCGTCTGTTAAGTGCCAGTGTTCCGCTTTAAAAAATCCATTGCAATCAACATACCACACAGACTATGGTGAGAGATTGTGCCACACACTCTCAAAGAAACTGCGGAACCACCTGATCAACATCCTATAAAGCAAACAGGAGAAGATCTTGAATGAGCTCTCAAAACTGGAGACTCATTAAAAAAAACCAACCTTCCACACAAACTTTCTCGTGGCTGGACTTTACAAAAACTAGACAAGCCATTTATAACACACACTTTGCTTCTCTACAGAGGAAAAAGGACACTAAACTATCTAAACTCCTATATGCCACAAAGGGCCACAACAGTGGTTCCCTTAACTTACCCTCAAATTGTGAATCTATCCAGCTATACTCTTAGCCTGACAGAAGAGCCTGTCCTATCTCAGAGCCTCTCCTTCTGCCCCACCACCCCCACGAACATGATACAGTTCTGTGGTGACCTAGAATCCTACTTTCACCATCTCCAACTCAAGGAATATTTCCAACGCACCACTGAACAGCACACTAACCCACAGAAACCTTCCTACCAACGCTATAAAAAGAAGGATTCTGCATGGACTCCTCCTGAAAGTCGAAACAACAGGACTGGACTTCTACATTAAATAAATATATGGAGTTATACCTATCTCATAGAACTGGAAGGGACCTTGAAAGGTAATTGAGTCCAGCCCCCTGCCTTCACTAGCAGGACCAAGTACTGATTTTTGCCCTGGATCCCTAAGTGGCCCCCTCAAGGATTGAACTCACAACCCTGGGTTTAGCAGGCCAATGCTCAAACCACTGAGCTATCTTCCCCCCACCTACATTGAGTGCTTCCGCCAACATGCATGGGCTGAAATTGTGGAAAAGCAGCATCACTTGCCCCATAACCTCAGCCGTGCAGAACACAATGCCATCCACAGCCTCAGAAACAACTCTGACATTATAATCAAAAAGGCTGACAAAGGAAGTGCTGTAGTCATCATGAATAAATTGGAATATGAATGAGAGGCTGCTAGGCAACTCTCTGACACCATATTCTACAGGCCATATCCCTCAGTGGGATAAGAGGGTAACCAAAAGAAACTGCACCATCTGCTCAAGAAACTCCCTGAAGAAGCACAGGAACAAATCTACACAGACACACCCCAAGAGCCCTGACCAGGGGTATTCTATCTGCTACCCAAGATCCATAAATCCGGGAATCCTGGACGACTCATCATCTCAGGCATTGGCACCCTGACAGCAGGATTGTCTGGCTATGTGGACTTTCTTCTCAGGTCCTATGCTACCAGCACTCCAAGCTATCTTCGAGACACCACTGACTTCCTGAGAAAACTACAATCCATTGGTGATCTTCCAGAAAACAACATCCTGGCCACTATGGATGTAGAAGCTCTCTACACCAACATTCCACACAAACATGACTACAAGCCGTCAGGAACAGTATTCCCGATAATGTCACGGCAAACCTGGTGGCTGAACTCTGTCCTCACTCACAACTATTTCAGATTTGGGGACAATTTATACCTTCAAGTCAGTGGCCCTGCTATGGATACCCACATGGCCCCACAGTATACCAACATTTTTATGGCTGACTTAGAACAACGCTTCCTCAGCTCTCGTCCTCTAGCGCTCCTACTCTATTTGCGCTACACTGATGACATCTTCATCATATGGACCCACGGGAAGGAGGCCCTTGAGGAATTCCACCAGGATTTCAATGATTTCCACCCCACCACCACCTCAGCCTGGACCAGCCCACACAAGAGATCCACTTCCTGGACACTACAGTGCAAATAAGCGATGGTCACATAAACACCACCCTATATGGAAGCCTACTGACTGCTATACTTACCTACATGCCTCCAGCTTTCATCCAGACCACATCACACGATCCATTGTCTACAGCCAAGCTCTAAGATACAACTGCATTTGTTCCGATCCTTCAGACAGAGACAAAAACCTATAGGATCTCTATAAAGCGTTCTTAAAACTACAGTATCCACCTGGTGAAGTGAAGAAACAGACCAACAGAGCCAGAAGGGTACCCAGAAGTCACCTATTACAGGACAGGACCAACAAAGAAAGTAACAGAACGCCACTAGCCGTCACCTACACCCCCCAACTAAAACCTCTCCAGCACATCATCCAGGATCTATAATCTATCCTGAAGGACGATCCTTCACTCTCACAGACCTTGGGAGACAGGCCAATCCTTGCTTACAGACCCCAACCAGCAACTACACACCACACAACCAAAACACTAACCCAGGAACCACTCTCTGCAATAAAACGCATTGCCAGCTCTGTCCACATATCTATTCAAGGGACAGCATGATAGGACCAAACCACATCAGCCACACCATCAGAGGCTCGTTTACCTGCACATCTACCAACGTGATATATTCCATGTGCCAGCAATGCCCCTCTGCCATGTACATTTGCCAAATCGGACGGTCTCGACGCAAAAGAATGAACTGACACAAATCAGACATCAAGAATTAGAACATTCAAAAACCAGTAGGAGAACACTTCAATCTCCCTGGACATTCAATAACAGACTTAAAAGTGGCAATTCTTCAACAAAAAAACTTCAAAAACAGACTTCAACGAGAAACTGCAGAATTGGAATTAATTTGCAAACTGGACACCATCAAATTAGGCCTTAATAAAGCCTGGGAGTGGATGGATCACTACAAAAAGTAGTTTTCCCTCTGCTGATACTCTCACCTTCTTGTCAACTGTTGGGAACGGACAACGTCCAACTTGATTGCATTGACCTCGTTAGCACTACAAAGGTAATTTTTCCTGTGTTGATATTCATCCCTTCTTGTCAACTGTTGAGAATAGGCCACTCCCACCTTAATTGAATTGGCCGCATTAGCACTGACCCCCCAGTTGGTAAGGCAACTCCCATCTTTTCATGTGCTGTAATATGTATACTGCTTACTGTATTTTTCACTCCATGCATCTGATGAAGTGGGCTGTAGCCCACAAAAGCTTATGCCCAAATAAATGTGTTAGTCTCTAAGGTGCCACAAGGACTCCTCGTTGTTTTTACTGTAATTTAAGAAGACTTGGTGTAGTTTCTCCTGGACCACATTTCAGCATGAAGACATACGGCAGTCACATCCAAGGAGCAAGGCATGCTTGAACTCACAGTAAACACCTTACCTGAAAATCAGGTTTCTGCAACCTGAATCCAGCTTCCAACCAGTCAGATAGCTGTGATCACCAATGAGAAAATTTAATCTGGGCGCTTTCAGACTCCTTCGCAACCACCTTCTTGCTCAGGTCTCACAGTGCTCCCATGGACGACCAACAGGGTCAACTAAAACACAAAAACAAACAAAGACTTCTTTAATTGTGGTGTATTATTTGTAGTTGATGAACTTGGAACCAAAGCATTTCAAATCAAGCAACTCCAGCCCCATGCAATATATCTATGCGCTCCAAAATCTACTGGTGCACAAAAGCCACTGTCTGTGTACTCAATTACTGTATGACAGCTTACTCCCTTTCCTTTATTTTGTGGAGCATAAATGCAACAAGGTAACAGTGTGCAACAAATGCACTCAACACAAAGACATTCAAGCTCACAAGCACTTCTGCTTCTTCTATGTTTCAAATAAAGTTTGGCAATGCCTGCACTCTCCAATCAACCAACATATCAACCACACAGATGAAAGTCATTTACTTTAACTGCTACTACTTGAATGATCTCCTCCACTATGCTCGATTGTGATACGTAACCACCCACTGCACACAGGAACCACACCAAGCTTGTAAGATTTCAAATCTACTTTCTGATTTTATTCAGCTCAAACTCAGAGTGGTCCAAGAATGAGCTCTTGAAAAGACAAAAACGGATGTGGCACTAATCAAGAGGAGGAAGACAAAAACATTGACTTGTCTTTGTTATGTATCAGTTTGCAAAAATCCCATGATTCTTTAAAAGGAGGGTTCTGTGAACCCTCTCCCACTTCTCCCTTGACCATCTGCCCTCCATGAGCAAACATCCCACCACCAAGAGGACCTCCCAGCTGACATCAAGAGTCCCAGATCCTGTGAGCAATTCCAAGCTCTTAAGCAAGCAAGGAAATTCTCTGAGTTAAGAAAGTGATAATTTCAAACTTTCAAGGGAATTATAATCAAAGTAAAGAGGAAATTATCTTGGACAGTGGTCTTTAAAATTAAAAAAGTAACTTGCGTTAAAAAGCCTTTGTTGCTATATTCTGCATTCCATGTGGATTTGGCTTAGCCAGGGGATTGAATTTTACTTAAAGACTGCGATCATTTATACAGCTGCTTAAGCGATGATTAAATGTAATTGGTGCGTGCCAGGGAGAAACTATTGTTCCCTCCAACTACTAGAGAATACATTTGTATCTGAGCTCCGTGCTAGGTGCATCCAGCTCCGTAAAAACACTGTACCTTAATCAACCATAGTATAGCCCTTAACAAAGACCTCAAAACAAATTCCAATGCCAGTTTTGGATCTCTCTTAAGAGCGATCCCTTTTTTAAGAGGTTGCAGGTTCAAGACATCGGAGGTTAAAAGCCAATTACAAACAAGTTAAAATGGACAAAGTACTTAAAAAAAAATCCTCATTTGTTCACAGAAACAAAGCAGCGCAATTTTCTCCTCTCTGAAATCCTCTCGTGGTCTTAACATTTATTTTTAAAAATAAAACAGTCCTTTGATTTCAGAAATGCAGTCTAGAAATGGAAACATAAGATACTTTTTGATCTGATTTCAACAATATTCTGATAATTGCACCAAAGTAGCCCACTTCCTTTGATGCTACAAACTTTGATGCTGAGGACTATTAATTTATGTCTGGACCGGTCCTCCAGACCTTCTGCACGGCAGACCATTTTCTAGTCACTGGTCTCGGCTTGCTGCAGTGAAACCTAAACTCTTTAAACCCTTTTGATCAAAAACACTTTTTTTTTTAAGCACATTAAGCAATGACTAAGGCCAAAGGGGAGGAGATGTGATACGAGGATATAAATATTCAAAGGGTAAACAGCGAGCAGAGACAGGAATGTGGGGAATGATAGAAATTTACATGAAATATGGAAAGGGAGCACAAGTCTGATTTATCAGGAAGTGTGTCCAAAAAGTTAGAGCCATAGACTGTAGTAGAGTCTTCCAAAGGAAGAAGATGAAGCCATATATTTTTAGTGGTGGCCAAAACAATAGTAAATGTAAGAACAATCAAACGGAGATTGGGGTTCCGTCATGCTAGGAGCTGTACAAATACATAGCAAGGGTTAGTCCTGGCCCAGAATAGCTTAGAACCTAAACAGACAAGTAAAAAGGTAAGAAAGTGAATAGAGGCACAGAGAGGTGCATGACCACAGACTAGAACCTAGATCTCCTGGGTCCCAGTCCAGTAGACTACTGACAGAAACACAATACCTCAATGGGCCCTAGATGTACAAGATGCTCTCTGTTTGGAAGAATCTACAATCTAGGTTAGATACAACATGAAATGAGACAGACAGCTTAGAGCAATCAATGGGGAGAGAGAAGAGAACTTTACTCGTTTGTGTTTTTAGCCTCCCCCATTCACTCTACAGCAACGCTTCTTTTACCTAAGCTAAAGATCCCTGCAGCACCCAAAATACTGAGGGGTTTGCTCATCGAGTAGGTTACTGCCAGTACAATTGTGTTGGGGGAGTGGGGATAGGGACGTGCTGAATTTGGGACACATAAGGGTAACAGCTTGAAAGTGCTGCTTGACCCAATCCATGGAGCCCAGGGGCATATAAGGAGAGACAGCTTGAAAGTGCTGCTTCCTCCAGCCCAGTGAATCCAGAGACATATAAGGGGTCAGCTTGACAGTGCTGATGGACCCGGTCTGCTCAGACTTGCTCTGTTAATGTACGTGTGGGTGTTTATCTGGTTCTGGGGCTGGAGTAACCCAGCCCTAGGGACCCTAGGTCCTGCAGAATAGCTCCATTGGGAGGGGACTTGCAGAAGGGAGAAGTAGAGCTCCATATGTAAACACAAGCGACACAA